AAAGTACATAAGCTGTTCTGTACGCTTTCTTTCGCTCCTCGTATGTGTGGTTGGGGCTCATACCAGCTACTTTACGACCGAGATCGAGACCAGAGATCCAGACGCTGGCCATTTCACTGTTCATCATTTTGAGTGCTTTCGGAGTCCTGTGCTTTATATTGGACCAAAGTTGTTTATTGCCGCTTTCATCCAGCAAGAAATCGTTTCACTCACACTACTACCACCACGACGGACCAGGGACTGAGATAAAGCAGGAAAGCCTTTAAAAAGAATTTACTAAAATTGTACAACGTTATACAGTGAGGGTTTAGATTTTAGTCTGTAAATGACTTTTGTAGCTTATCTAGAACTATGCACCACTTGTTATATTAGTCTGTTTGTAGTGCACTGATTGGGACAACACTGTGATGTTGATCACTTTTAACAGTAACAACCTGTACTGGAAACCATAGCTACCATTTTTGGTCATGGCACAATACTTTGAATGCTGCGTAAATTATTCTTTGAGAATTTTAGTGCTATGTGCAAAGATAAACACAACTGAGTTAGAGCAAATGGTTATTCTAAGAAAGCCCGTACAATCGCTTAAATTGTTGTGTCCATCTCTAGTCATTGGTATGCACATGCCTAATTCCTTCAGCTGAGTTGCCCTGGTACCTCGGTTGGCAGAGTGCTCGCCTAGACTGCAGAGTGTCGTAGATTTGAATCCCACCTATGGTAGCTCTCTTTTCCTTTTGAAAAAAAGTACTGTAACCCTCGCAGCGCATGCGCGCCGAGGGTTAGAAGTTATTCGCGTAACTGAGCAGCGTCGGGACATGTGTCACGGTGGTTTTCGGCTAAGTCCAACCGTCTCTGGGTTCGGAACTCATCAATTTTAGCCTCGGTTACCTAACGTCATTTTTGTCGTGCTGATTTTAATGGCGGTAAACCCGTCAAGATCGTCAGAGATAATCAAGTCAGGACGTTCAGCAGGCACGCATGGGCTGAATGAGGAACTCGGTAGGCAAAGGGGGAGGGAGGGGATGAAGGAGTGCCTGTTGTGTGATGATGAGTGTGAAAGTGTGAGTCACGTGTTGTGGGAGTGTCCAGCTTATAGTAGCCTTAGGAGCAATTTCTTAGTTGCCCTGCAGGGGAAGATGGGTTTGAGCATTTCCAGTCGCTTGAGAGTTTAAGGAAAGCATCCTTTATTTTGGGTAGTGAGCTGTGGGGGGATAAATTTGGTTCTCTGCTTGACCTTGATAAAGGTTTCATTTTTGGATGTTTGAGAGCTAAGAAAGGTTAGGTTATACAGCGATAATCCCAGCATACAACAGAGACGATCTCAGATTGCGTCTGGGGAGCTGCAGGTGTCGCTGGTGGAAGGGGTGAGTTGAGGTGTCTGGGAGGTGAGACAGACACCTCATGTTCATATGGTGTAGTTTCGTTTGTTAACGGGGACGTCTGAGAAACCCAACTACATACATAGCTCAAAAATTTAAAGAAGACACAGAAGTGCTGTCAAACTGATCAATTTGTGGTTGCCCTGGAATGCTCAAACAGTTAGACCGAAGCCCATGGGAGACGATCACTTTCAACTTCTGAGAAACCCAACTATACATACAAACACAAACTCAACAATTTGTGGTTGCCCTGGAATGCTCAAACAGTTAGATCGAAGCCCATGGGGGACGATTACTTTCAACACCCAACTATATATACATAAAAACACAAAGTCAACAATTTGTGGTTGCCCTGGAATGCTCAAACAGTTAGACCGAAGCCCATGGGGGACAATCACTTTCAAATTCTGAGAAACCCAACTACATACGCAGCATAAACATGTTTAAAGCAGACACAGAAGTGCTGCCATTGAAAGGAGAGATTTTATAGTGCCATTCCTTGGTGTTTCGTTGTATGCTTCGAGCCAGCTTTCAGTAATGTGGGTATGCTGTATTTATTATATAGGGCCTGTTTGGAGTAAAATTCGCACGAGCAAGAAATGTCAGTTTGAAGATGAAACCATAATGCATCACATGCACTAGGTCATCCCTGTCTTGTCTCCTTGCTTTTAATGGCATCCCTATATATATCCCTATATTTTTATTTACTTGCCCTCTTTCCTTTTTACTGCATTCACAAGCATGGTGTGCAATAAAAAGGGGATATTTTTGGGCATAGCTAAGCCCATAAAATAAGAACATTAGTGGCCTCAGACGTTTTGTTATCATTCACATTACATCAGTGCACAAAGTTTCATTGTGAGATCACCCATTAGAAGCAAGTTATAGGCACTGACACAATAAAAAAATTCTTTTTTGCCTGAGGCTGTTTGTTATTGTTGACAACCTGTACTTTCTGTTTCGATGAACTCTTTATCATGGTGAATCAGTGTACCACGTTTCATTGTTAGAAGACCAACCATAAGCAAGTTAATTTACAAGTTTTAATTGCCTGAGGCTGTTTGTTGTTATTTACAAACTTGTACTTTCTGTTTCGATGAACTCTCATCATGGTACATCAGTGTACCAAGCTTCATTGTCAGAGGACCAACCATAAATTATAGACACAAACACTATAGCCTGAGGCTGTTTGTTGTTGTACAAAAACTTGTAATCTTTACATTTTGATACTAATGATGGGTTGCATGTGTGTACAAATCATTCTGGGTAGCTCTACCTAGTTACCATACTTTATTTGTCTATATCATAATGTATGACCTGGGGCTATTTTTTAGTTGTTTTTTGTTGTTTACGAAAAAATTAAATTCTCTTGCACGACCTGTAATGGATTCCAATCTCTGTGCAAAGTTTCATCTCTGTATCTTTCCTGGTTTTTTAGATACGCTTGTCTAAACTGAACAACACGAAGAAGAAGTTTGAGAACTGACTTATTCGGGGGGGAAATGAAGTATCAATTATGCCATAAATGCTCTTTGTGACAATACAGATATGTCAAAAGTTGGATCTGATTGAAACTGAAAGTGAAACATGAAAATCTCAAACGTATGGGCATAATGCATAATGCAGGACAACCCCTATATACTAAGTACACCCGTACTTAGTGATAGTGAAATAAATTGTATATGAAACAGGGTAGCTTACTGATTAGGTGTTTCTCTTTCAATTGCATCAGCAAAACTAGCTTCTGAGCTGAATTCAGTTACCCAAAATGTGGATAAAGCCCTGCTATGGAAATGAGTTTGGCGTTACGGACACAGTCTGACACTAGGTGTACCTCATCTTCTGTTATGTTGCATATTGAGCAGAGCCTTTGGTTAACAGGGAGGGCTGCAGGTTTATGGTATCGACCAGTTTCAACTTAAGGCAGCTGACTAGCTAAATACTATGCGCAAGACACACGCGAACTGCTCGCGCTCACTCGCCAAACAATGTGTTACATTAATATTCCTCTAGTAATTAATATTATTGTATACCAAGAATGGTGCAAAGATTATAAGATATTCCATGCCACTGCTGGGATAATGCGCGGGCATCCTACGGTGCGCTTGACTATATATATAGCATAAATAATATTATTTGCGCGCATGCGCACTGACGGGCCAGGCACAAGAGAGAAAGTAGGGTAGGTAGGTAGAGTCCTGATAGGATCGTTTGCACCACCTCTCGCAACAATTAAGAAGGTGGCCAGCGGGTTCAGCGGTGAACTTCAAAAATGCCGATTTGCTCCTGACTGCAATACCATCACTCACGCCAAATTGCTAGCTAACATGCAAAATGTTATTCTTACAAGTACATCAAAAATCCTGCGAATTTTTAAAAATAGAGGCATATAGGGATGGTATAAAAAGAAAGGGAGACAAGATAGGGATGGGATACATGAAGCATGGTTAATGAATAGATTTGGGCACGCTGACACCCCCAATCCCTATATTGTTGGCTGGTGTGCTACTCTTGTAGGGAATGTGGCATTAGAAGGGCGAAAGATTACTAAAAGCAAGCATTCTTTCACCGTGTCCTCTTTTTTTAGTAACATTTCTACTTATAATACTGCAACATTCTAAACTCTACTTGGACTATTATAACGGTGTTGGTTACTCATGCAGGTGGCATCGTTATCCTTCTTGGCTACTGAAACAAGAACAGAGTCACGCAGACACTGAGGCATAAAACCGTGACGAACAAGTGAGCTGAAGAATGTGGAAAGAGGTGCCATAACCACTGATGAAGCATAAATCAAGTGCTCGGAAAATATCCCATCCCCGTCCGATTTTCCACTATTAAGATGAGAGAGAGCATCCAAGACATCATCCTCATAGAATTCCACATCACATATATGAGAGGCAGTCACTGAAGGTTGGATGGAAGACTGAAGAGAGATGTGAGGTGAGGAAGAGTGTGTATTGAGAATGCCCCCAAGCTTTGAAGCAAACACATTAGTAATGTTGCAACCACCAGCTACTCCATCAACAACAGGGGCAAATGAAGATGAAGAACTCTTTAGTTTTCTTACATCAGACCAAAACGAGGACTTTTTATTCTTAGAAAACGAGTAAGTAAGCTTCTTTTGGAGCAAATAATTTTGCCTACGTATAAGACGATGAACCTCATAATTATTATACTTATACTTTCTCTTTATATTTTTCTTTATTTTGAATTACATTTACATCTGATACTAAAGAACACGAAGGCTGAGAGCATAAAATATGATTGATCCAAGAACGACAGAGACTGTCATCACGCTCATAAATAAACTTGACCTCATCACCAAAAGAAAGATCACAAGAAAACAGACCAAGATTAGACATAAACTCACACAACAATTTGGAACGTGGACTAGAACGATCAAAATCAACATTAAAATCACCAACAACGAAATCATTATCGCAATCAATGAATCCCTCCAATTCTCCAAAAGTATTTAAGTATTCAACGTAAGGAGAAGGACCACAGAGTCATGTAGATACTGATCAACAAGGAAGTAAAACCAGTAGAATCACAAAATTTGACAGCACAAAACGATTAGAACAAATTTCTAAAGAAGAAATGCAAAAAGCTAAGCACTTCCGGTACAGAATAGCGCAACCACCGAATGGTCTCCCAAGAAGAAGTTCAGAATATCCATGCCACTCACACCAACTGAGAGGAAATCAGGCATAATTATGAACTGATCATTTAATAGGCAATACTCTTGAACAAAACAAACATGATAAAGTTATTAAGAGTATGTACACCACTATTCTAACCTCTGCAATTAAAAGAGCAAGATTTAAGCCGAGCCATCATTGCTACCCTGAGCAACAGTCATAGAGGAAAATGATGAAGGAGAAGGATGAGAGGGAGGTTGAGATACAGCACAAATTGGCACAGGGGAGCTTGGCGAGGAAGCTTCAAACACGGCTAGTGATACAGAACGCCTACTACGCTGGGCACTGCTTGCAAGAGTGCAAGTAAGTGCTTGAGTTGGACCAGCTGAAACAGCACAGCTTGTGGAGGAGCTGCAAACAGAACTAACAGGAGTGTCCACAGAGGGGTCACCAGGAGGAGTTGTCTCATGAGATATTGCACGCAATTTGTGATCAGGAGGCACATCCTCACGCAAGAATAGGTGCTTTATACGAAAGTCTTTAATGCAGTCTTCCGAAGTAAAACAATCCCTAGCAGTAATTTGAATTGGACGTGGATGAGACAGGGAGGAGGTCGACCGTACATATTTTCCTAATCGAAGCATATCCTTAATTTGAACTGAATTGCCAGAAACAAACTCTAATATTTCATCAACAACCTGCTTGGACTCAACAAGGCAACCCAAAGAGGATAATATATTATTACTCGCACGCTCGTCAGCAGAGGAAGACCTCTGGGGAGTAAAACGTTTACGTGAGACCACTGAAGAGGAATGTGTAGCAATAGGAGTAGGAGCAGAAGCATAACTGACAGCTGGCTGAGCACCACAGGCAACAGCTGGAGAGGCACAAGGAACTAAGAAAATGGAAAGCTTCTTTTCAAGGCCCTCAATTACAGAGGAAAGGGCATTCAGCATGAGAATACAGCACATATACGATATGGACAAACACAGTGGGATTTCTTCATGACTTCAACTCGGATTATAGAGATCGACCCCTGTCACTCATTAACCCTCGGCGCACATGCGCAGCGAGGGTTACGGTACATACCTGGTTGTAATTGTGTCTGTCCATCTGTCCGTGTGTCTGTTGTACCACGTTTTCTGCGACTACACGCAACGAGACAACAAAATAGCGACACCAACAGATTCATCGCTTCAGTGGCTACATTTTAAAAAAGGCGATTTTCGTATAACTAGTTATGGCATAAAAAGCAAGTCAATAAGCCAATATGCAAATTAACACAGGCTTATATACCTCGACCGTGTCCGCTCGCTCTGTGTATGTTGAAGGCACAAGAAGTCACAACAAAGGGCGTGTATAGACTCTCGCATGCAATCTACTAGTGTAGGTAGCCCGTGTAAGACTCACCGTGAGCTACACCACGAGTGTAACTGCATAGCCTAGCCCCAAGCTCATCAATTAGCGATACCGCGCATGCGTAGTGCGCCGAGGGTTTGCACTCTATTAACCCTCGGCGCGCATTCGATAGAGGGTTACAGTACTTGTCGTGCTAATGCAACGCCATAACTTTTGAACGCAGCACTTTTACGAAAACCGCTACATTAGCTTGATTTTAAAACGGGCGATTTTCGTAAAAGTGCTGCGTTCAAAAGTTATGGCGTGAAAACCAAAGTGAACAAGCCAATATGCAAATTAGCACAGGCTTACCCGACCGGGTCCGCTTGCTCTGTGCACCTTGGATGCACAAGAAGTCACAACGAAGCGCGTGTACCGACTCCCGCATGCTGTCTACTGCTGTAGCTAGCCCGTGTCAGACTCTCCGCGAGCTACTCCAGGAATAGCCAATTTAGCGGTAATGCGCAGTTCCCCACTTTAGTGCTTTTCATAATGATGTAGTTAGAACTTTTTTACATCCTCTTTATCATTCGTTGCCTCAAGCAAGTGAATTTTACATATCTGTCGTAACACCCAGTCCTCATCTCACCTCAAACTGAAACATTCCCTTCCTTAATCGACCACCGAAGGTCACCTTTTCTTCAATCGTCTTCCACGGCTCTGAAACTGTCTTCCCCAAATATATCCCTCTGTCCCTATGGCCCATCTCCATAGTTTCTTCCGGACAAACTACCAAACCCACTTCCTGGTCCACATCTTCTTCCACTGTACAAGTAGTAGCCTGGTGTGAATCATTCCGGGCAGGGTTTCATGCGATTCTGATGAACGTGTACAGCATCTTCCAGTGTAAAGTAGACTTTCGTGGCAGTGACGTTCGTGTTGTTGCAGGCTTTGACTCGATATGGCCCATGCCATGGTCTAGACAATTTCTGGAGTCTTCCTGACTCATTGCTTGGAGACCGGATGAGTATCTAATCTCCAATCCTGTAGCGATTATGTCGTCGGTGTGCCGGTCATACCGTGCTTTGTACTTCTCCTGCGCTTTACGAATAGTCTCCAGAGCAGTCTGCCTTGCTGTACTCAATGTGAGGATTAACTCTTCCCGGTAGTCAGCAACTGCGGTGCGCGACACGTCTGAGTTGACAGGCAGTAGAGAGGCTTCCACGGGTGACCTGCAATCCCATCCATAGAGCATAAACGAGGGTTTTTCACCTGTAGAGTCGTGTGGTGCGTTTCGATGGGCCCACAGCAGCGCTGGTAGATGGTTGTCCCACTGGACTCCAAATTGGGCAGCTCTCTTTCGCAACATCGTTTTCAAAATCCGATTAAAACGCTCTACCATACCATTGCACTCAGGGTGATAGGCTGTTGCATTCAGCTTTTCTATTCCCAGGATTGAACAGACATCTTGCATGAGGTGGGAGAGAAGGTCAGCTCCTCGATCCGAAAAAAGTGCTTCGGGAACTCCGAACATCGGAACGATTTCTTCACAGAGGAGCCTCGCCAACAGTTCAGTCTTTTGGTTGGGTACAGGATATACCATTGGCCACTTCGTTAGCATGTCTTGAAAAGACGACAACGTGTTTGTTCCCACGCTCAGTACAAGGTAGATCCATTATGTCGACTCCAATTTTCTGAAAGGGTTGCTCGACAGGTATTGGTTGAAGAGGAGGCTTGTTTTGACGACCTCTGCCAGTCACTACTGCACAGTCTGGACATCGTTTGCAGAGCAAAGGGATATCGGTGTACATTCCTTTCCGCTATCAGTGCTTGAGCAGCGCGTTATACAGCTTACAACTGAAGAAGTATCCACCATGTGTTCCGCCATGGGTCTCTCGGAGTAATCGCTCTCGGAGATGAGTAGGGACAGCAATTCTCCTCTGGTTGCCATGACGATCATCGATGAAGTGAGGAACACCATTAATAAGGGAAAACTGTGACTCTTGAGCAGCAAAATTCCTGGCACAAACTGGGTCTTCCGGCAGTTTGTCGTTCTCCACAAACTTGATGACTGTCTTGATGTCAGGATCAAGTTGGAGCTGTTCCCCGCAGCTGGCTCAGAATAGAGTAGGGGTCCCTGCAGCTGTAATGTCTATCGCGGCGACTTGGGACTCTCCTTCAGCAATGCCTACTATTGGTGGAGGGCTACGGACTTCTGGAGAGAGCGTCAGCAAATGCGTTTTCACATCCTGCACGATAGGCTGTGCTGACAGACTTCACTCCACTCCCAAACACTTTGGTCCACCACCGGGCATGTTTACCTGAGTCTCCAGTACAGACTTCACTGCAGAATGATCTGTCAGAACCTTTACATAGAGGTGTGATCGAAAGTGTGTAATGGCCCCCAGAAGAGGTAGACGGCAGCGAAGTCACAGACTGCAATGAGCGCTGGGTAGATAGTAACTGGTGTGAGGACCACAGTCCAATACGTGGTATCGATTACCGGGCGCTCACCGTGAACCAGCAGTAGAGCTAGTATGTAGAGCGCTGCGTCCGGGATGTGGGTAGTGATAGCAAGGCGCACTAGAGGATTGCTATATATATATATATATATATACGGCCTTTGGTATACAACGTCACAGTATCGTGTACCCATTAACACAAGTTTGAACACTATACCTCATCTAGCTTTGCTCGTTTACGCAACATACTCACCTGACAGTGGGTCCGCCAACCCCCAGCACAGCATTCCGCTCGTCTCCCTAGTAACAGGCAGCTCCAGCAGCTGGTAACCAAAACCTAGGCTAACACAGTTAGCGCGGGGACAAGCCTTCCAAGAGAAGAAGATGGTCAGAATGGGCAGTGGTCAGTATTGCACGGCGGTGCTGAATCAGGCAGAGGAGAAACCTTCTGGTGAGGCCAAGAGACCAGTGATTGATTGCCACGTGAGAGGCGTCAAACACACCGTTTGACTAAACCTCGGAGGGAGCAGGGGATAGGCAGCTAGCTACATGGAGAGAGGAAGAGGAGGTGTATATCTCTACCCAAAGCAGGTTCTGCAGGTTACCGTGTGGAGGTTGTGAATAGGAACATATGTAGCGGAAAGATGGTCTGGCTGCCATCCTCGTCCACACTGATTCCTAATGCATATATACCCCAGTCGTAGTCACTGCTGAAGTAACAGTGTGGTCGAACAACGTATGTCTGGGTTTTACTTACTGACAAGACAACCTCTGAAGACAGTAAACTGTGAGAGCAAGCAGCCCGTTAGACACAGTAAAGGGAAGACCGAATTGGCACAAGGACGCATAGGCAGCGGTGGCTTAGACCGTCTTTGAACTTGTAGTTGAAGTTCGGTGCAGGAGGGAGTATGTGAGTCTAAATACAGGCCCAAATTGTGTGCACTTGGCAGGTAGGATGCAAAATGTGAGAGGCAGCTAAGATACTTGCATCATAATTAGTGTCTTGTATTTAGACAAATGAGGCGGTCTTAAGCACAGGGTTTATTTTGTCCTATCTCAAATGAAGAAGATAAGTTACGGGGTCCCGTTAGACAGCCATTTGAGATAATCGAGTTGTACAGCACATAGACCTGAGAAGACCATACTTCTGAGAGTCGGGTATTTGGTAAAGGGCTTTGGCGCGAGTATCCGGCTGACGGCGTTACGCCACGAGGAAATGGGGCGTGGTTCTGCAGGTTAGGTTCAACTGCTTGGTCCCAGGTGTCTCGAGGATATGCGACTCTAATATACTTACCCATACGTATGAATTGTACTAAACCCAACTGCACGCTACTTCTCCCTTGCTCTGCAAATACGTTACAGTATAGATGAGCAATAAGTATATGCGGCCTGTGTTATTATTATCAACAACACTCTCTAGGCTGTGCATCGAGTTAAGAAGTCAACCATTACATTTACAAGAGATTGACTCTTATAATATTAACGTTTGTTTTATCACAGCTTGTCAAGCGGTAGCTTGTCGAAAAGGGCATAACTGGATTCCTAGATCGAATTTTGGATTCTTGGTCAATCTGCCATAATACGCATCGCACGCATACGGTAGTTTAATGCAGAGGAAGTGGCTGATCCAGGTAGCAAAATCACAAACGACCCAGAGTACCTGAAACGATATCAATAGATAAAGAGCTCAGACGTGTGGCTAAGTTATGGCCAGTGCGACCAGCAGGTCTACGGACACCGTAGTGGAACGTATGAGTGGCACGAGGCTGCCATGATCTTAAACCTATAAGGCTGTGGAGATTTGACTGTAAGTATCTCTGCACAAGCACGCACACACAGCACACTACAGGACCACAAAGAATACACGAACCGACCATACCGGACACCAGCACACACACCGGCGTTGGGAATTTAGGGAGCGGAGGAGAAACATATTAGAAGGAGAAGGAACAGGACAGACAACGAAAGAACGAGAGAGGAGGGTAATCGGGTACAGTGATGGAGCAGACGAGTCACACAGCCCGAACACCAGCCCCTCTCATCCCGCCCGCTCACAAAGAGGACGCGACTGCCCGCATCAATGCTGATCAATGATGACCTGGATATAGGTCGAGAAGGACGCACCACCGGACACATCAACCAATCACACCTAGAAGGAGTAGACGGCAGCAAAAACGATCAGACCACACATGCACCGGAACACACGAGCAACGTGGTAATTGAGAACAACTCAGCCACGGAGCTACACAGAGATTACAAGGGACACGAAACATAGGGCTACAGCACACTACAGACCGACCACGAGACCCACACAGACATGAGAAAAAGACATGAATGGAGAAAACCGAAAAGGATATATTAAAAAGGAAAAAAATAACGGACCTGATATAACAGCTACACGCCGGAAGTGGGACACACAACACACACACAACACACACACACACACACACACACACACAGCAACACACACACACCACGTGA